CCCCGCGCACCCAGAGCAGTGCAGGGGCCGCCCTCACAGGTGAACGGCCCCCCAAAACAGGCCCCGGATCTATTCTCCTCATGAGTCTGACACATGCCTCCTTCTCATTCGGCCAAGAGGGCGTCCTCCAAAGTAGACATTAAAATGGACGTTCTGAGGGGTAATCTTTAGTTTTGGGGGTGTCCTGTGTATTGCAAGAGGTTTCAGAGCAGCCCAGTCTCTTCTCCCTAGATGCCGGTGGTACCCCAGTCTCTAGTACCCCCAATCAAAACTTCCAGACGGCCCCACCTCCCCCGGGGGCAGGTCACCCCTGGTGGCGACAGGCCGCCTAGGGGCACACCCGCAAGAGGGACCCCACAGACCGGGACGCCGCCACTCGGGCCTGCGGGCGGCCGACGCGCAGAGGCAGGCAGGCGCGGGGCACGAGGTTCCTACCAGAAAAGCTTTCCGGCCTGAGCTTCTCCGCCCCGGATGTAATGGGTTATTTCTTTGGTGAAATTCCATTCTTCTTCTAACAGATTTTTTAAACTATGGGAGGCTTGAGGTAATTGCTGTAGCATTTGGATCCAGCTTCTCATGTAATCAAAATACACCTTGAAATACAAAACGTAAAAGAGACATTGAGAACAGAGTTCAGCACCCCGCAACGTCCGCCTCTGCTCAGGGGAGAGCCAGGAGCCAGGAGGCCAGGGGAAGCGGGTGCCGAGGCAGCCCCCCGGCGAGGGAACACACCCGCGCACCCCACCACCTCCTCCGATGCCAAGAAAACGACAAGACGTCCCCAACGCACAGGAAAGGACAACTGAGAGACAAAACAGCCCCGGGAAATTCTCGTCCCTGGCGTTTCGCGACCGTCACTCCCGGGCCTTTCCTGCTCAGCTGCCCGCCTCACCTCAGACGGCGCCTCGCCAGTCGAGAGGAAGCGAACACGCCCTCCCACCTTCCCTGTCTGACATCCAGCGCGGGGGCACACCTGAAATAAGCGATGGCCCCGGCCAGACACGCAGCCGTCGGCAGCGGGCGACGCCCAACGGCCCCCTCAGCGCTCCGGTGCCAGCTCGCTCCTGCTGTGCGCAGGCCCCAGGCTGCGCGGGCGGCTCCCTCAGACAGTGGGGCCCGGGGCCCCTCGGAGCCGCCAGCCTCCTGCGCGCAGCGACACGGGCCCCACGTGCACGCCACCAGGTCAGCCTGGGACTCAGCCGAGCCCCCGGTGCCTTGCGCTCCGCAGCGACTCCCAGGGGCCACGCGCGGCGGGGTCTCTGTCAGAAAGCTGCCTCCACTGAACTTTTGGATGCTTCTCGGTGCGCAGCTCCCAGGCTGTGCTGAGGCGTGGAGCTGCAGTGTTGGACCACCACAAACTCGGCCCAGGGTGGGGCACACAGGGCGGGTCACAATTACACTGCAGGAGGAGGGCGCCTCACCTCCACTCCTCGACAGCGCCCCCAGCCTCTCTCCCACAGGCTCCTCGGCCCCACTGCTGCTTGAAACCACAGCTCTCTGTCGCATTTATTTATTTGTTTTCTTAAATCTATGCACACAACCTAGGGTACAGGCCAGAGGTGCAGGTCTTGGGGGTGGGGTGGGGGTGGCAGGACTCCTCAAAGACAGAGTGGGGAGCAGAACATGCGGATCAACGAAGTCCACTGCTGAGGGGAGCAGCATGCGGGTCAGGAGGGGTCTGCCGCGCCCTGTGGTCACCTCCGGGGTGGGGATTGAACTCGTGCTGAAGTGGCTTTAGCTTCTCAGTGCTGCGTTTTAACTCGCTGTGTCACCAGGGAGGGCCCGGTTGTACCTTCTTACGCCAGCTGGACTGTGATGCACACATCGGCCTTCAGGCCAGCGCGCCTAACCTCGTGGCTGAAGACTCAGAACTCCCCGCCCACGGAGACCGGCAGGTTGGCAGGGCCTGCACAGCGCAGGGTCCTAGCTCACGATGACCAACAGCCCTTCCCGTCACCATGAGCTCCCGGGGGCTGGTGCTGACCACCGAGTCTTCAGTCCCTGGCATGACCGCCCACGGAACACGGTGGCACCGGACAGCCCGTGGGAGGGAGGGCACCGCCCACCCCGGACAGGAACCTGGCAAGTCCCCGCTGTGAGGTTCCTTCGACCTCCCCATCGGTCTTGTTCTCACCGCTTCTTTCCTCCCTTCTAGAGCCTTCTCGCAGGTTCCTTCAAACCCGCCCCCAAGTGTGCCAGCACTCACCGCCACACTGGCTGTACAGAGACTGCCAAGGCCCAGAGTAAGCTCAGATAGTTCACAGCTTCACCCACATCTGCTGCCTTGCTACACTCACCGAGATGTGTCCCGGGAGCTGCACGGGTCAGCCGCTGCGTTTTCAAGTCAGGATGCTGTCACACAGAGTAAAGCCCCCGAGGCTGGGCTTTCTGCACCAGAAGGGTCGGCCTGCGCCCCTGCCCCAACTCTCACGCCACCGCGGGGCCAGCAGCTCAAGGCACAGGCCAAGCCTCTGTGCCACCCTTCTGCTCGCGGACCCCACCTCCGCAGCTCAGGACTCCAGGGCCTCCCCAGCGCCTGGCTCTCCACCCTGGCATCACGGCTCAAGGCACAACTGGTGCGGCCCTGCAGCTCCAAGGTGCCACATGGGCACAGCTTGACCCACCTTCATTCTGTCCAGTAGGAAGGTAGGTAACTAGCACAGTATTTTTAAGGGTGGGGGACGAGGAGGGCGCTGTGGCCAATTTCCTCTTTCATTTCAATGCTGTTCTGGTCATTGCTTCTGCTGTTTTTGTGAGCTGCCAGCACACTGACGGCCTATCCAGAGACCACCCTCTCCATCCTTCCTAACAGAAGACTGATGAGCAGGTCGCAAAACACGCCCTCTGCTCGTCCTTGGAGCACACAGGGGCGCATGCTGAATCCTGGGTCCGGACGTCCAGCCTCACCTGTGAAATTATGAGGTAAACTAGGGGAGGGCAGGACAGTCACGACCGCTGACGGCAGTGCGGAAGGTCTCCAGCTCGAGCAGGCCCGGGTGCAGCGGCCCTTCTCAGCACCCAGCCTCGCCCTCCCAGCCTCACCGGTTACCCGGCAAAGGTGCGGCCCAGGCCTTTATGAGGCAGTCCAAGGCAGTCTGAAAAGCGACGCACATTTTGTTTTTTCAGCTTCTAGTTTAATCACTGAGAGAGAAAAAACCAGCTCCTGCTGTTCCCCAAAACCTCTCGACGATAAAGGCGCTGCTAGCACAGCACAAAGTCTCACAACACAGCCTGCTCCACGCACGCTGGGCGCTCACCAGCTCTCCCCCAACAACTGGCAGACAACCTGGCGCTCACCACTAACTGTTACAATGCGCAGGCGCCCGGGGCAGGATACACGAGTGCCAGCAAGGTGAAAGCGTCTGAGAGCTGCACCCGGCCAGCACCATCCTCGTCAGTGTCCTCTCCCCAGCCTGTCTCTGCACACACGCTCATGAGGCTGACACGCATTTACGATGCCCAGCACTCTGCCGGCCTCAGCAAAGGAACGGCAGCCGTGCGCCTGGGTTATGAGGCTTTCGGTCCGTCCGAGGACGGAGACGTGGTGGACGCGTTAAGTGCTGAACTGCACTGCTCCGGCGACAGCTGTAGTGAGGATGCAGAGAAGGCGCAGATGCACACTACAGGTTCACCCATCAGATAAAAGCTTCCAGAGGGATGGGCTCAGGATCGCCTGCCCGGCCCCGCCAGAGTTTCTATGATCGGTCCCAGAGAGGCCCGGTCCGGGGAGGCCCCTGGGCTGACGACAAACGGGCGGGGCCGTTCCGCGCTGCGTGCACGCTCCTACAAGTAAACAACCTCCAGGGCACAAGACAGTCTAGCTAACCCGCTGAGAACTTTCTGAAATGTGGACGCAGGAGGAACGAGCATCATCTGTCGCTAGGCAGAAGTGCCAGGCTCAAGATCCCTCGCAGAGAGGCCAGGCGGGGAGCCCTTACCATCAGCATCTTGTGCAGGTCCTCCTGGAAGGCGTCGATGCTGCAGTCGGCCCCCTCCAGGCCCTGCGGGCCCCCGCGCAGCATGAACTGGTAGTACTGCTTCATCAGCAGGCCGCCCTTCAGCACCTCCTTGCACTCTCTCACCAGCTGCAAGACAAAGGCGGAGGTCAGCCTCGGTCTGGCCGTCACACGCAGTGACATCCTCCAGGGCCGAGCAAGGAAGCCTGGCCTCTGGAACCTGACACAGCGTCCAGATGCTGTCTCTGTTCACGTCACATAAACATCTCACCAGGCTCCGCCGACTAAGGACGAAGTGGTGACCGGGGAGGTGCTGAGCATTACAGCATGAGTCCAAACTACAAGATGAGGACAAAAACTGACTTGCTAAAGTATATTCTAGAAATATTTTCTATGAAAAATAAATTCTGCAGAAAAAGACCTACGCCCCTACTAGCTGACATTACTAGACAAGGGCTGCAGAATCTAACTCTTTCGGGCATTTTCTGGCCAAAAGTAATAGATTCAAATACACTTTGTGTTACACAGAGCACAGAAGTCTCCGAATAAATTCAGTTTACCTGCTGTCACTGGTGAGTGTTACCATCAAAAACTCAAAATCACAACACACACACACACACACACACACACAGTAAAAAACACAAAACAAGAAGTTGGGCGAAACTGTCTATGGGACTCAGCGGCGACGCTGGGGAAAGGGAGCGGCCGAAGTGACTGCAAACACCCTCCCAGGAAGGCGGCCCGGGAAACCCCAGCCACAGGGCTCGGGCACAGGCTACCGGGAGACGCTGGGCTACTGAAGATGACTCAGGACGCCCAGGAGCGCGGGCTGGCACAAACTCCCAGTGTCCACGCTGCAGGACTTAATCCGCTTATGTTTTATGCTCAAAAATAACCAGACGCAGAGACACCAACAAGGACAAACGGTGCCCGGAGCACGACGGCCGCCATTTGCGACCTTGTCTTTGGAAAGGTATTTAGAAGTAAAACTCCTATTTTCTTCTTTTAAATCTGCTGTGCTGGAAATACCACCTGCAGGGGGCAGGGGCGGGGCGGGGCGGGGGCAGCCTCTGCACAGGGGCATCCGCGAGTAGCAGCAGCAGAAAGGCCTTCCCCACCCGTCTGTACTGTGCTCTGTACTTTGCAGATTCTCCTCAAATAAGCCTGGATGGCTTTGCAGAAACAGGAGCACCCCAACATGAGCAACGCCAGCGTTAACCTAAGGGGAAGTGTTGCTCAGGTCAGACGCTGCTGAACAGGATGTCTCTCAGGGGCTCCTACCCGAGTCTGGGATGCTTCAGCGTGGAGCATTCTCTTCTTTTACTCTAGTTAACCTAATGTTTCACGTGAGTCCCTCGAATCCTCACAACAGCTGCATCAGCAAAAAGAAGCAAGGGTCACCTTGTTTCACTGAGCCATATTCCTGAAGTATTTGTTTTGTGGGGCAGGGAGACTTTTACCCAAACTCCGAAAGTAACAGCTGCAGAAGAGGACAAGTGACAAGCCTGGTCCTCATGGCGAGGGGGACCCCGCCAGGGCCAGGACATGCAGCAGAGCCTGGCTGGACACACGAGCACGGCCTGGCACCCGGCTGGACACACGAGCCCTGCCCTGCAGCTGCGCAGCCTGCCCTGCCCACGCCCACCTGGGTTGCACCTGTCCTCGGCGCCCAGGGGCGGCTGCCGCCAACCCGGGGTGGGCACGCACGCCACAAAACACACTCTTCTCTTTCAAAAATTCAAAACGCTTCTGTTATCTGCTGAATGCCACCGTGGTGACAGGACAAAGCAGCAGTGCCAACCGGCTGGGGCCTGCTCTGCAGCGCCGCTGCTGCCAGCGTGCCCGGCGGCCTGGAGCGGCAGCGCCCCAGGAAAGCCCATTGCGCGTGAGTACAGGGGAGGCGGAAGCCATCCTACGCTGGGCCAGACGGTCACCCAAGCGGGCGAGTCCAAAGATCTCCCTCTGCAGACACTGAGGGCTGTTTACACGCAGCTCAGAATTAAAATAAAACAACTCTAAGGTTCTAGTTTGAGAGTCTTCAAAGAAGATTTTAGAACAAGGAAATGGATAACAGAAAGGTCGAACAACCACCTTGAGGGCGTCAGGAGAAGAACATGTTAACTTACCCTAAAAGAACATCTTAAAGGCTCTTGCAAAGACATTTTTCATTACTGGCAAAAATCGGGAGGAAATAATCCTTAAAATAAAAATCTAAGTCTGCAGAACAACGATCCCTGAATGTTCTAAACAACTTTGCAACAAACCTGCTTAATACTCAAAAGAGACGGCTCTCCAGCAGGCCTCTGCTCCAGCCGCAGCTTGAGACACTCGTGGATAACGTGAAGGAGGACCCGGCAGAGGACCAGGAAGGCTGGCTCGAAGGAGGGCAAGTCCATGGCCGTCAGCTCGCCCCAGCACACGGTGCTGCACTTCTGCTCCGAGGGAAGGGGTGTCCTGGACAAGTGCACATAATCAGAACCCCACATGGGATCCGGGAATTCGGGAAACTGTAACAAAAATTCAAGAGCGTCAGAGAGCGTACGTGGGGTAGCTTCAGGCTGCAGTCGTAATGTTCTTTCTCTATAGCTTGCTGACCAGTCTGTACAATCATAACCTTACAGGAAAAAGAATCTTTATAGACTAATTCAACATCTTCAACACAGACTTGTAAAGCCCTAAAGGATTAGAAAAAACGTAACAACTAAAACTGAAGTGCAACATTTTAGTGAAGTATAATGGAGAAAGTATCATCCTTAAATGATTTTTCTCTCTTCTTTTTTCAACCTTAAAATGAGCTGAACATTCATTCTTAAGGTTATTTAAAGTATTATCCACAACTATCTCTAGGCTGAAAGAGTCAGATTAAAATTTCAGAGAAGAGCACAAAACCAGGCGCCTATGTAAATGAGGTCGAAAGCCACCCCACCTTGCACAGCCCTCACGTGGCACCATCCTGACCAGTCTTATTCACAGGTCTTGCCTTCTCCCTGACTGAGACACTGGGACAAGAATATCTGAAAAGTGCGACTTTCTTCAACTCAGACTCTCACTGATCGCAGCTGTTCTGCCTACAAACCTCACTCAGCCTGAACTCCGTAAGCACATCACTGTCTTCCCACCCATATTCCTTTATGGCCAACACGTATTTTCTGCATTGAAATTAATACATATTTTAGTTTCCCATTGACTGGCAAGAATCTGTGAAAGATGTCAGATAATTTCAAAAACAATCACAGGTGATAAAAATGGTCAGGGTTAAGACATGTTTAAAAGTTTTAGGCAGCACAAATGCTTTCATTTTCTGGTACAGAGAATAACATAACATCAAAAGTCTATTTAAATTCTTTCAGAACTGTCTAAGATTCTGAAGACATCTCCCGCAGTCCCGGCCTGCTGGCCCATCTCCCGCAGACTCCAGGGAAGCAACAGTCCTGCGTGTGGGCCACACAATGGTGGAGGGAGACCCAGGTCCTGAGCAAGCCTGCCGGTGCTCAGGGGTCCGTCTGGGTCCACAGAGGGCAGACATTACAAGCCACTGGGCACCTAAGATGAACAGTCCTCGCAACTAGGAGACCAGGGCAAGAATGAGGCTGCTGGTCCTGATCTAATGCGGGAAAGAGGACAGAGCCATAAACACACCGACGCAAGGGAGTGTGGGTGGGGGAGAAAGACAGCAGGATTTTCACAACCAATTCAAAAAAAGGCAGTGAAAATAGACAGGATGTTGTCAAAACATGAAATAATAACTTAGAAATTAACTGCAGAAACGGTCACTATAATTTATAGCAAAAGAAAGAGGAATGAACGTTCTATCAAGTAAAAAGAGACACAGGGCTCTCACTTAACAATGGTCTAAGTGCTAGAAAGCGCAAAAGAAAAGATGGAAACTTTTCTGCACGTTCAAGTTATCTCTACTGTGAAAAAAGAGGACAAATAATTTTTGAGCAGGAAAGAGCTCAAAGTACAATTCACTTGCTACTTCTGAAAACTACCTGAAGAAGTTTGTACCAGTCCAGTGAAAGAAAGTGGGATCAAAATAAAATCCTAAAGAAAGGAGAACAGTGAAGGAAGGGAGAACTCATGATCTAGTAGCTTCCACAGGCAGACAGCCCTCCACGGCATTTTTGTTATTTCACTTGGTGAGAAATGTAGGATTAAATGTGGCATAGTTTGCCTATTTCTGCTCAATTTGTCCAAAGTGGGAACACTCAACAATGAAGGAACATTAATAAAAACAACACAATCTGGTCCCAATGGCATTCGCATGGATTAACAAATTCACTGCATAAAGTTCATGTGGAAGAAAGTGCAGAAAGAGCTCAGAAGTTTTTGAAAAGGATGAACAGGAGTAAGCGCCCTGATACCCCTTACTAATAAGCCTTCTTTGTTTAAAGAAGTGTTAACATAGTACTAAACAGATCAACAGAATAAAGAAATATACCCAGTTACCTATGATTATTTAACGTATAAAAAAGGTAGGCAAGAATGTCAAGAAGTAGGAAGTAATGAATAATGATCATTACTTTATCCTATTATTTTACCTACCATAATTAGTCATTTTTTTAAATTATGTGGCTATTTTATAAGTGTGCATTACGAAAATACAAAAAAAATACAAGAAAAGTGTGTTGAGCATACATATTTAGAAAGAGATTCCAACTGTATTAGAACCAAAACACAGTCAAGCACACATTACACACTAGCTCTGCGTTAGTGAGTCCGCACAACAGCCACTTCGGGCGGCCACGGACGATGCAGTCACGGCAATTCAGTATGGAGTGACATCACAGGCAAAGTCTAGAGAGATGGGGGTGATGACTGGATTCCACTCCCCTTAATTCCCCGCCCCCCCGCGAACAGGCCAACAGATGGAAAACTCCACGAGTCAAGTTTATGATAAATTGGGGGTGGGGCGGGCTGCAAACAAACAGAAGGGGTGGGTTTCGGAGTGGACATTTCCCAGCCCATCCAGATGGGATCACCATTGCAGGGGAAGCAGATCTCCCGGGGGCTAAAGGCACAAACTCCAACATTGCTGACGAGTATGTAAGCAGAGGAACGCTCACCGCCTGTCAGAGGATGCCGCGGGCCTGGAGAGCCTCCTGGCACAAATTCATGAGCGAACACGGTGGAGTGACAGCTCAGAGACACAGGGCTTCTATCAGGGGTGATGAAGATTAGACAGCGTCCAAAATTAGACAGTGGTGATGGCCAAGCAACTCTGAATATAGTAAAACCACTGAACTGGACACTTGAAAATGAAGCCTCTCATGGCATGTGAAAACCGCCTCAATAACGCTGCTATTGTAAAGTACAACCCCAAAAGAAGAGAATCTAATTACATATGTAGCTAGTGGCATAACCACGAGAAGAACAGTAATTGCTGGTTCATCCCTCGAGGGTTGTGCCCAGGGCGGGGGCACCTTAAACCACTTTCCAGTGGCCGGGCAGCCAAGGGGCTCTTCTGACATTACTGTGCGTCCTGAAGTGCAGTCACACCCGGCATGCCAGTGCATCATTGCCAATACCACTGAGGGACTTTTGCTGCCGAAAAACAGCCACATGAGATTAAGTAGACATCCGCAATCCCAAATTTCAAGTGTTAGTGTCCATGTGAACTTGTGATGTGTTGTTGTGTCTGTATTTCATCTACTGGGCGACAGCTGGAACATGACCGACCTCTCAGGTGTAACTATGGACACTGGGCCCAGACTGTGGTCGCGGAATATTATTTTCCAGTAACAGGAAGGAGGGTTCTTGAAAATCTATCAGATTCCCAGTATGAAGCACACGTATAAAATAAGTCTAAAATGACAAGGAAATCAGCTGAAGACTACTCACCAGGGTTAAGACACATGCATGTAAACCAACTTGACTGTGTCCCAGGGGCCACACAGTGTGAACATCGATACTACAGTAACATCGGTGAGTTTCAGCAATAACTTCAATGAACTGAAACATACCAAACACCTTAATTCACGAATTCAGCACCATACCAGTGAAAAAACCCTAACTGGTCACCAATAAACCAACTCTATTTTTTTCTTTAATGGTAAATAAAAGGGAACGAATCAAGCACTTTTCTATTCAACTATTTTACCAGGTACCAAGTAATGGACGAGAAGAGCCTCTCTTCACAGCATTATCTAATGAAGTTAACAAGAAGCGAACAGGCCCTCCCTGGTGGCGCAGCGGGTTAAAGCACAACACTGAGAACCTAAAGCCACTTCAGCATGAGTTTGATCCCCGCCTGCCCCGGAGGTGACCACAGGGCGCGGCAGACCTCTCCTGACCCGCCCGCTGCTCCCCTCAGCAGTGTGCTTCATCAGTCGGCCTGCTGTGCTCCCCACTCTGTCTCTGGTGAATCCTCTCACTACTCCTGCACCTCTGGCCTGTACCCCAGTTCTGTATGCACAAATAAATACATCTTTAAACAAACAAACAAAAAAGAAACAAACGAGGAAGCGAGAGAATTAAAGTAGCTTCACTTTGTAACCCCTAATGAATTAAGGGGTGCGGGTAACCCAGCCACCGGCATCTCAGTCACCATGCACCCTGATGAAGTAGAGTTACATGACCAGCCAACCAAGAACCCTAAATCTGATCAAGTGGCTAGGCTGCAACCGATTCATCGAGAACACAGAAGGAAAAGGAACACACGATCGAGAACACAGAAGGAAAAGGAACACACAGAAGGATCCTGGAGACTTTAGAATAAAGGAGCCAATCCCTTCAATAATGTACAGCAAAGGAAGACCTAGAAGTATAATGAACAGTGATGATATTTGCAAAATGGTTTAAATCATAAAGCACTTCTTAAAAGAAAAACATGAAAATGTATGACACAAGAGAAATAAAAATCGAAGTGACATTTGATGGTATTGAGACCTTACTGCTATATTCCCAGTGTGTTAACGGTGTTGTGGAACATTTTAAACAAGTTTCCATCTTTCAGAGACACATGGGTAAAATGTAAAAAGAGGAAGGTGGGTGTGGCAGGAGATACCAGTCACAAAGTACAACTTATGAGGGACAAACTCAAGGGGTTTCCACTGTGTGGATCTGCGTGTTTAATATTTGCCATACTAAACTTTGTAAAAAGAAAAAGGAAAAAACGAGATCACTTTTTTTTTATAATTGTAGCATACACAAACTAAGGTGATCATGAAATACTGATAATAGGACTACACAGAAAATTCTGAGTTTCTGCCTAGTGTAAAGCATCAAAGCATGAAAAAAGACTCTAGAAGAAAAGATTTACAATCAGAACAGAAAAACAAGCATATCCATAAAGTGGAAACAGCTCCAGCAAATTGATAAGCAAAACTAGTCAGGACCCAACATCAAACGACGGCGAGGAAAGTGACCCCAAGACAAGTGCGTGGGCTCCAGGGCCCGAACACCCCGTGGCGGAGGGGAGCTGTGCCCCGCACACACCGTGGTGGGGGCAGATGACCCACCAGTCAGAGAAAAAGTACCATTAGCACAGGTTTTTGAGCAGAGGTTTTCTGCATTCCTTACCAAAGATACACATTTCTATGATCACCAAGGCTCTACACGATCGTTTCTTTATACACGTCAATGCTAGTTTATAAAATAAAAGTTCCATAGAATAACCGGTCTGTTACTCCGCAAAAACTCGCTTCATGGTTCCACACCAGCGGCCACACCACCGGCCGACGTGCGGGGGCTGGGGGCCGCCCGCTGGACGAGCCGGCCCAGCCGCGGGAAGGCGGCGTCTGTGGCGCGCCCACGGCGCAGAGCGCCCGGGGACAGACCTGCCAGGTTTCCCACCAAGGCAAAGACCTTTGGCGGGTCACGGGAAGTTTTCTGATTTCTAACTGTTAGCCTCTCGGAAAGATTTAAAGCACCCTGTGAGGAAAAAAAATGTAACTTGAAACTTGAAATAGAAGCACGCGGCCCGGGGTTCACGCCCCAGCCGTCACCCTTGGGGACATGTTACTCCGCCGACCCCTCGTTTAGCGAGGTCTCAGCAGATGCCGTCAGTCTTTTGCTGCTGGTTCACTGCTCTGCTGCAAGCTGGAGAATCCCCTTCATTCTTGGATCTGTTTTCATCTCCATGAGTTGGGAGTCAACTTTGATTGAGATGGTTCGCTTCAGTCGGAAATAATGTAAGACGACTTCCTATTTTCCCTCATCTAAGCAGGACTCTTTGGAGAAAACAGAAACCCGAGTGGGCCCTGGGCACATCTGCGCCTGAGCCTGCCCCTGGAGGGGCAGCCCGGGAACTGCAGCAGCGAAGCACCCCGTCAGCCCTGCCGTCCCTGCGGAGCGAGGGTGTTTCAAGAGCTCCTGGGAGCTTGCCGGCGGGCCGGAGACCAGGAGTGTGGCGTAGTCTGGCGTTCCCAGCTCCGGGTCTGCGACCGCTCACCTGCGTAGCTCCCACCTGGCCCAAGCCAGGGGCTGCTCCTCTGTGAAGCACCCGGGGCTGCCCCTGGCACCGGCGAACGGCAGCTGCTATGCTCGGCACCGCGTTTCTGCGTGCCCATCCACTGTGGCACAGGAGGCGCCCTCTTCAGGGTTCCCGGTGCTCACTGGGGTGGCTGCTGTGGGTAGCGTGAGAGCCGAAGGCGCAGGCCGCTGCCAGTAAACGCATAACTTCAGGGCCGTTCCCAATTCAAAGGGACTAGTAAAGGAGCAAAAATCATTCCAGAATTTGAGGCAATAGGCACTTTTTTGATAGATAAGATTAAAATACAGATTTCCTCTCTTCTGAAAATAGAAATTTCAGAAGGAGAAACATAAAGGGGCATAAAATAGCTCCACCCCGATCTACGGTGCCCATGCTTTATGGGTACTTAGTAACTTGAGGTAAAATTCGCGACACTGTACAACGGCAAGAACCTGCTAGGACACCGCGCTCAGCACGAAGGCGAGCGGAGGGCAGGTGCGGCGAGCGGAGGGCAGGTCCGCGCTCCGACTCGGCAGTGCGACTTCACCGCGCAGGCAGAAGCCACGGGAACTGCTCGAGCACTGCGCGCAGGGGGCACATCTGCCCCACAAAGGTCCGCTTAGCAACCTGGAAGTGACCCTCTGTATCCGCCAGGGCTGCGCAGACACGCCATGGACTCGAGTCCACGCAGCTAGGTCTCTCCTAGCAAGAGAAGCAGGTCACAGAGGAGCCTGGGGGAAGGCAGGGTGGGACCAGCAGGGCCACACAGGCCCAGAGGTGCCCGGGGCTCACGCTAGACGGTGGCAGGCTGTGCTGACAGGGCCAGAAGACACCCCACTCTGCAGCTGAGACGGCCGGCCGAGAAGCAGCGGGTCGTACCCCAACAGCAAAGCACAGCCAGAACTTTACCTCTAAATGCCGTTCTCCAAGGAAGCTGGCTGACTCGTTGAGACGGTCAGGCAATGGCATGTGTGACGGCCGTCCATGCTACACCGCATACAACCTTTCAGATCTGATTTCAGCCACGAGAGAACATCCGGAACCAGCGCCTCAGGCTGAACACAGCACGTGTCTCCTACTTTGCACTGATAAGACGTGTTTAGGTAAAAGCAGAGCGGTAAGGCCCATACTGACGTACAGTTAGCCTCAGGGAGAAGATGGAATGCGATGAGACTGCCGAAAATGTTCCCCTATGACCTCCAGTGTCAATACATACAACCTAGATTCACACAGGTATTCTTAAAGCCTCACCGCGACCCTGCGAGGTAGGTGGAGAGCGCCACTGTGCCCCTTTCTCGGAGTGACGGCCTGGGGTCGGGTGAAGTCCGGACACGGGCACGTGGCGAGGGAGAGCCACACACGGCGGGCTGGAGTCGGCGAGCGGCCCCTTCCCAGGCATACTCAGTGCGAGACGGAACCCCCGGAGGGCGCACCCCCCTCACTCCAGACACAGGCACCCGGACCTGACAGAAGCTCCCGCTCCCCTGCTGAGTCGATTCCAACCGCAGAGACTCACTTTGGCTGGGTCAATTTTTAATTCAGAAATATCTCCACTTTGAGGCTGTTACTTTTTCCCTACTTGACAGGCCATTTTAGAAACCCCTTAATAGGGGCTTCGGCACTTCATTTTTTGCAGAAGAAACGGCCTATTTATAAATAATTCCGATGGTCTTTAGTTTACAGGCTACAAATTCTGACTTTGTACGTGTGTTTCTTTTGTGTGTAACACGGAAACCCCTGCAGTGCAATCTCCACTGGTCAGCCCCAAGGCACGCCGGCCCGGAGCTCGAATCCCGGGACGACCTGGTCCCCTCAGGCGGCCCCTGGCATGAAGCACTGCGCTTGCTCAAGCCTGCTCCTGTCCTAACAGCCACCGACACAGCAGCCGGGAAGGAGCAGGGGCCCTCCAGGGCCCGTGCCCTCAGGCTCTGCCCTCCTGCCACGGGAGTCAGAGGCACCCTGCCCGGGCACCTGCGTTCCTACTGCCCCCACGCAGGCAGGGAGCAGCAGCCTGGCCGTGGGTCCAGCGGGAATGCGGCCCCAGCCCCAAGCCCCTGGCACGGCTCTGCTGACTCTGCAGCCTGCACTACAGTCAACACGGCCTGTGAAAGTTACTGATGGATGACGAAGAAAAAAATCTCACTTACCCTAACAGAAATATGCACATAAAAATTCAGAGGTGAAATGCAGTCCAAAGAAAAGGGCTTATGAATTTATCTGTAAGCTTTCTAATCAAAAATGTACTCCAACTAACCTCTACTGCCACTAAGTATTGATTCATTTTGCAAACAACTTTATGTTGTGAAAGCCTGACCCCTTTCCTCAAGATTCAACCTCTGGTCATCAGGTTCAATATGAAAAACTCACACACTCAAGTTCTCCTCAGATGTTTCCCAGCTTGGAGAAGAACGCTTTCCGTTTTATCATCTCTGACTCCAAAATGCGCCAGGCTGCTGGTACACTCACGCCGTAAAGTAACAGTAAAAGCACCCCAAGTGCACACACAGCTACCGAGTTCAGAGGCGCCCGAGGGTGGGGGCGCAGGGCTGGGCACGCCGCACTTTAACCCAGAGCAGGCCCAACACCCGCCTCAGTTTTCCCAGCTTCACAACAGACAACTTCTGGGATATCGAGCTACCAAAACCAAATGTACGCTCTCTTCAGATCACATCCTTGAGCAGACATGCCTCCCGCAGGATACTCACGCACCCCAACACGTCTGTGGGAAGAGCCGACTCCCCTTCAATTCCCCTCCTCTATGCTAACCACATCAATCTCGCCAAACCAAGTCTCCTGTCTCTCTCTGTAACTCAAGTCTCTTAACTACAGGTCCCAAAACTGGACACACCACTCAAAAGGGGAGGCGGTCACTGCAAAGACAGCCTGAGCTGCGTCCACAGCCGTGGACACCATGTTCATGTAAAAATACCCCAGCGTCGCGCTGGCTGTTACTGCTGACTTAGACTCAGGGTGTGGTCACCGCGGCTGTGGCTTCCCGCTCGTTATTTATACCTCGTCGGCGCTCCTCCAGGCCTCTTAAACGGCTGCTTTTCTTCTCCACACACCACCTTGACTTATTCCCCCCAACTTTCATACGGCTTTCAGAGGCCCATTTCCCTGTTCATCGCAGCGCTTTATAGAAATGTTTGAATCTGTCACTTGCCGGAACTACCACTCACGCCTTAAAGATAGAGAGTAGGAAAGCACAGAGCAGCCAACGCGACGCACCATTATTCACAGCAAGTGACAGAACTGAGGACCAGCCCAAGCTGACGCCTGCGGGAAACCTACCTCCAGGGGTTGGTCACTCTTCACCAGGGCAATGCGTGCCCTTTGCAAGGAACCGTCCATCAGCTTGTGGAGTCTTAAAATTAACTTTCTCAACCCCATCTGCTTCAGTGCTTTGTCTACAAAGGGTCTATAAATAGAAGTCAGACAATGTCTGCTAAGGCCTGCTTCTGAACCACAGTCTGGCGCTCCCCAGCCGACAGACTCGTCCTCAGATTCAAGCCTCTCCGGCTTCTGAGACCTGCAGTCCTGCAAGGGGAAGCTGAAGCTGCCCTCGCCCGGCTGCCTGGCCCCTGGCTCCTCCTCGCTCTCCTCCGAGCTGCTCCCCAGCGCGCGCAGCCCCCCTCCGGCGTCATCGCGCTCATCCTCGGGATCGTGGCCTTTGGATGGCCGCGGAGAAGGGATCTCAAACACTGGCCAGCCAATGTCTGACAGATTCTTGATGCCCAAAACAGTCCCCATAATCCTTAGCTTCTGATTTAAGTCTTTCGTGATGTTCAGCCACAGACAGAGCGCCTGCACCCTGTCCTGGAAGTCTTTCGCAGCATACTTTTCATAGTCTTTCTGAAGCGCCTGCAACGACGGGTAAAGTGCTTCTATGTACTCCAGCAGCTCCATAATGCGTTTCACCTGCTCGAAGGACACCCTCTGGCGATGGAGGTGCTCGTGATAGGTGGTGTGGCCCAGGCTCCTCGCTCCGTGAGGGGCCTCGCACGGCCCTTCTCCTGCAGTACCATTAAAACTAGCTCCGTTTCTAACAAAGGCAAAGCTCCCGTAGTTAACCTTGAAGGTCAGGATCTCGTTGATGATGTCTGGGATGGCCTGACGGGCTGTGTACAGAAAGAGGTCCTGGTCGTTGATGGTGCGCCCGGCGTGCCAGGCCTGCAGCTCCAGCCAGATGAGCTCGTTCGAGCGGTTCAACCAGAAGGCGGACGTGTTCTCCTGTCCTCTCTGCTCCCTGTCCTTCTTCTTCGAGACTGAGGTAAGCTTGAGCAGAAGTCGTAAGGTCTCAAAGAACTTGAGGCGGTCTGCCGGGCAGTCGGTGCGCGAGGTCTGGCGCGCGGCCCTGGGGATGGGCAAGGGCACCGACACCGGAAGCTTAGTGTTGCTGCCGCCGAGGCTGAGGTAAGGCTTATTGAGGTCCACGTCTGGAATGGACTTTTTGGGCAGAGACCCACCGACCGAGTCCAGCACGAACGAGCACTGCACGTGCTTCTTGTGGTCACGCTCTGTTGTCCTGAGAGCCGCGCGGATCTTCTTCTCCTGCTTATAGCTGTGTTCTTCCACACTCTCCACGGCCTTTCCAGTGTCTTTGTGTGGAGACTGGCTTGGTGTGTTCATTTTATCTATGGGAAAAAATAAGCAAAACATCACTCTAAAGCACGAAACCATACTCAGTATTTCAAACCAAACTGACGGATACGCACACATTTTCCAGGGGATTGGGAGGGGAAGCATGCCACGTGCTGAAGGCCTGAAGTCCACGCATAGGATCCAATTCAATTCTATCTGGCCCACGTCTGCTACCACACTCGCTCTGGGCTCCGCCGCCCCCCGCGACTCCTGCAGTGAGTCTGTGCAGGAAGTGTGCGGTCACCCGCCTGCCTCAAGCCTCCTCCCCTCAGCACAGCCCAGCAGCCAGGCAGAGCCCGTGCAGCAAGTCACCTAACTCCGGCCCTTCCAGGAGCGGATGTGGGTCTGGGAAACACTGAAGCTTTCTGGGCTGCTTTTCTCATTTGGAGGAAGACCCTTAAGGCCCGTTATAATTACTCTCACAGAAAGATAAAAGACTGATGACAAAGATGTCCATTTCAATTTATCCTATTCCTTGATTCCCTCTTGAAGACAGGCAGACTAATCTGACATGCAGACTAATTCGCCTAACCTATTATACGGGCACAAAGAAATCATTCAAAATTAATGCAAAAAAGTAAACACCTCATTTTCTTCCAACAAGTCCACAAACTTCGATTAATTTAACTCCCCAGTGCGAAATGAACACGCTCACATCCCCCCCCCCCCGGCGTGGCACTGTCACGCATGCTTCAGCTGGGCTTACTCTGAAGCGCGACTGCTCGTCCAGGTCCTCCTCGGCCTCGCCCCATCCTCCCGTGACCCGCTTCCTATGTGCTGCCTCCCACAAGCTGGCAGTGCCTGCGCTGCGTGCCCGCCTCACTCTCAAGCCACGCTTGGTGCCGCTGAGCCTACAGATCACACAGTCCACGTCTTAGCATCTCTGAAATCAGAACGTGCTTTATAATCAAAAGTGACATTCACTCATCAATCACTTACGTTTTTTTATTTATGCCTACGAGTACTAAATGATTTTTTAATCTATCAAGATTTAAAATAGTTAAGTATCAGGAAATAAGAAACAGAGACTGAAAAGTCTAAGTAGATAAACACGCTGTGACTTCACTCATACTTATCCCCTCCTACCTGTTATAGTATGCCTGCAGATTTGAGGAAACAGAGTATACTTCCATGGGCTACAGAGTAACAGACCCAAAATCAACTCACCAAAAAGGTGTTCAAACGAATTTACCTCCCACTTCAATTAAAATTTAAAACAACAACTTTGAAACAAATTTTCCTGAGCATACTACCAACTTGATTTATAATACATTTATATACGTTTATATTTAATCTGTTTTATGCTTCAGCAAAAACATTTTATCTGCCTGCAGGGATTTCTGCCATAAATATAAAAACTAGTACTTTTAGTTTTTAAATTAGTAACATTTCAAGGATGGAGTCTTTTTCTAGTTTTTAAAACTTTTAGTACAGGGCCCACCTGGCAGAGCAGAGGTTAAAGACACAAGCTATTGGCAGCCACTGCAGCATGAGTGTGTTCCCCGGCCAAGGAGGTGACCCACAGGAGACAGCACACCCCTCTATCCCCGCTGCCCCCCTCAGCAGTGGGTTTCAGTGGATCCGCCTGTTCCGCTCCCCGTTCTGTCTCTGGCAAATCCTTTCACCACTCCCCACGCCCCTGGTCTGTACCCCAGTTTTTCATGCATCTTTAAAGAAGAAAATGTTTAATACAACCCACTCAAGAAATGTCTTCATAATTTTCTAGCTGCTAACTTATCAATCCTCATTCATAAACTCTGACCAGGTCAGCTCTTGGCAGTTTTAACTCTGTGTTTTTTACACTCTTATTAACACAGCACACACATACGATTCTCTTCCTTTTAGCAAAGCAACGGTACTTTGAAAGCAAAGCTAAGAAGTGCCTTCACTATATGTATTTTATGTCAATTCATGATACACTTCGTCCCTGAGACAAAACGATATTGTTGCTGCGTGACCACGTAAGCCAGAGGTCAGGATGAGCTCAGGTTTCATTTTTCATCTGATGTCCCCTGCCGCCAAGACCCCGTGCGTGAGGAACACAGTCTCACACGAATGCAGACGCCACGCCGTGCCGCCCCCCGCCCCGCCCCGCCCCGCGCAGCCCCAACCACCACCACACTGATCTCCCCACCCGTCCCTGCGCCCTCCTCTTCCCCTCCGGTGACCACCACTCTGCTGTGAGAGACTGAGTCCTTTCCTTGCACTTGCCAGTTTGTCTGCTTTGTTTCCGCATCATGTACTTCTTTGCCATTTCACTCAGACTAATCACCTCAACTCAGATGGGGCAACACACACAAACTCAACAGCAACACAAGCCACCCATCGAACAATGTCCAAACAGACCCCTCCCTAAAGAGGACGCAGTGACCGACAGAGAGGTGAAAGTGCTGACGTCACTTACTGCGGAAATGCAACTCAGAAGCCCAGTGAACCGTCACCTCCCAGCTGGGAGGAGAACAGCGTCCAGAAGCAGCAAGTGCTTACACTACATTGGATTTTTCAAGATGCCAATTCATACCACTGGGGCAGGCCTCCTGCAAACAGCAGGGGGACCTCCAAAAGGAAACCAGCCCCCTCCCCCACTGCACTGCCCGAGGCCAGGAAACACGGTGTGCATCTGTGCATAGTGTGGCAGCCCAGGGACGCAGACCTTACTTCACTGCATTTGAGGCGCCCAGGCACAGCCAGATGAAAATGTCAGAGGGGAGCGAGACTGGTCCTATGAGAAGCCAGAGGTTCTGCAGAGCGCTTCGCCTCCGGCTCGGTCCCTAGAGGTGCTTTTGAATAGCAGGGAATTATAAAAGGGAATTCAAGAAAAGTGGCAGTAGAGGTAAAACAGGCCTAGGACAGAACCTTGTAGCAATTAGCACTGCATCCAAATAAATGGCTTTGAGGCTAAGAAATTTAAAAACTGTGTAACAAAGTTTTGTTAGCCTGGAATTTAGGGCCCTAAGAGGACTTAAACTACGAGCAGCATTTCTATTATGGCCAGAAAATAGCTGCATATAATCTATAATTTGAAAGTAACAGTGAACAGTAAAAAATCATTAATTTGCTTATGTAACTTACACACGTTCTAATTCATGTATTTAAAGTCCACGAGGCAAACAGAGGTAACAGCAGCACGCAGCTGTGACGACTGCCAGGGCGACGGCCGCGTGGCCTGGGGTCCGGACACTGTACTGACCAGCACCTTGGAAACGGCGCGAGGACGCCTCTCAGTCCTGACCTTGATTTCAACAATTAAATGAATTTAAAGGGAAAGCGCCGGGTACAGAGAGCATCGGATTGCAGCAAGCCTACGAAGCTGTTTAGATTAGAAGCAACCCTGCTAAGCTACCACAGAGCGCACACGTGATTGCACCACGCTCGGAAATGTGTTTACATGCAGCAGCAGTGCGCTCTTTGGATCTGCCATGTACGTAAAGAAAAGCCAACCGGGAAAGGAACAAAAGGGGACAGGAATCTAGTTTTTTCCAAAATAAGAAACACAGCTGGTTTGGACAAATACACACAGAATGGAAACTGATGCGCCCTAGTTTTAAATGGAAATAAGTAAACTCAAAACAGACTCAAACTCAGTCGACCTACGCTGCGAAACACAATGTGTAGTATCAGACACTTAGTTTCTTAGGAGGCGCCCTGGTCGACGACGCTGGGATTCAGGGGGACCGGCTCACCCCGCTTGGGCGCCGTCCCCTGCAGCACCCCACCAGCAAGGCACCTTGGCGCCTCCCCTCTTCTCCCCCCCCACCCTGCCCAGCAGTCTTGATTCCACAGTTCTTAAATAAGATATATTTGCTACAGGAAACACAAGGAGTGATCAGGCCTCTTGAGGGACCTGCCATTTAAAGGCAGTCTGAAAACAATTCGAGTAATGGGAGGAAAAAAAGTCTAAAAGCTGAAGACAGATGAATTTCCCAGAACCCCTTATACCTACAGTAGGTAAGAAGCCTTTTAAAATATACACAGAAGCTTATTATTAATGGACGGGTTTCATTTGTTTAGCTTTTTGTTAATACTAAATTCCCACCTCAATTTAGCAAAACTCAAATGCAAGCAGAAATTCAGAAAAGGAGAATAAATTGAAAGGAGGGAGGAGTATAAATCAAAAGTCTGCAGAGTGTTTTTCATATGACAAGCTCTAAATATAGCACTGAACTCTGGTTCGTAAGAACTTGAGACTTGCAGGACATCCGTGTTCTTCCGCACAGAAACTGTCCGCATGGCGCACACTGACCTCCTAGGAGACTCAGCTGAGGAGGCATAACGGATGGATGCCTGTTCTGTCTTTGGCTGTGAGGTGATCCTGGGAGTGTGACCTGAAACTGTCGAGCAACATCAGCGTGCTGACGGGGCCAGGGGACCTTCTAACTGAGGACCCTCAAATTTCAGTTAACATCATGCAGCACGCGGGTTCCTGCTTGAAACGCAGGTCTGGGGCCCGCCCCAGCGCTCGGGGCCAGCCCCACTCAAACAGGAGCACAGGAGGCTGAAGACCCGCGTGGCTCTCACTCCCTCATGTGAAGGTAAGGCTCTCCACAGAGTGTCTTCGCCGTCACCACAGAGCACAGGCCAGACAGGTGGCTGTGCCGGGACATGAGCGCTCCATGTTCACGCCCCCACGAGCCCTCTGCAAGCCAGAGGTGGTCACGGGGCAGCAGCGTCTGTCCGGCCACAGGCTGAGATACCAAGTGCCCTGGAGAGGCAGCTCACAGGAGCTGAGTAATCTGTGCAGAATTTAGGACCGACCACGTCCTCACAGGTGCCTGGAAGAAGGGCTCAAATAGGGGCAGCAAGGAGCGCCGCAGAAGAGGAGCAGGGAAGACAGTCTAGCTGGAACGGAGTCCGCGTCAGGCGAGAGAACAATCAGGACCCGGGGAGCCAGGCTGAGTGTGGCCCGGAGAGCTGCGGCCCAGGCTCACGCTCTGGGACACCAAGCGCAGCCCGAGAGAACATGGGGCCCGGCCAACCCGACGACTTCCACTTG